GGCTGAGGGCAAGATGATGGGAGGTAATAGGGTGGGGGGGGGGGCAAGATGATGGGAGGTAATGGGGCTGAGGGCAAGATGATGGGAGGTGATGGGGCTGGGGGCAAGATGATGGGAGGTGCTGGGGGGCTGGGGGCAAGATGATGGGAGGTAATGGGGCTGGGGGGGGGGGGGTGCAAGATAATGGGAGGTAACAGGGCTGGGGGGCAAGATAATGGGAGGTAATGGGGCTGGGGGGGCAAGATGATGGGAGGTAATGGGGCTGAGGGCAAGATGATGGGAGGTAATGGTGTGGGGGGGGGGGGGGGGCAAGATGATGGGAGGTAATGGGGCTGAGGGGCAAGATGATGGGAGGTGATGGGGCTGGGGGCAAGATGATGGGAGGTAATGGGGCTGGGGGTCAAGATGATGGGAGGTAATGGGGCTGAGGGCAAGATGATGGGAGGTAATTGGGCTGAGGGCAAGATGATGGGAGGTAATGGGGCTGAGGACAAGATGATGGGAGGTAATGGAGCTGGAGACAAGATGATGGGAGGTAATGGGGCTGAGGGCAAGATGATGGGAGATAATGGGGCTGGGGGCAAGATGATGGGAGGTAATGGGACTGGAGACAAGATGATGGGAGGTAATGGGGATGAGGGCAAGATGATGGGAGATAATGGGGCTGGGGGGGGCAAGATGATAGGGGGTACCGGGGCTGGGGGGGGACAAGATGATGGGAGGTAATGGGACTGGGCGGCAAGATGATGGGAGGTAATGGGACTAGAGGCAAGATGATGGGAGGTACCCAGGCTGGAGGCAAGATGATGAGAGGTACCGAGGCTGGAGGAAAGATGATGAGAGGTACCAAGGCTGGAGGCAAGATGATGGGAGGTAATGGGGCTGAAGGATGGGGGGGGGGGGGGGCAAGATGATAGGAGGTAATGGGACTGGGGGGCAAGATGATGGGAGGTAATGGGACTGGAGGCAAGATGATGGGAGGTACCGAGGCTGGAGGCAAGATGATGGAAGGTAATGGGGCTGGGGGGGGGGGGGCAAGATGATGGGAGATAATGGGACTGGGGGGCAAGATGATGGGAGGTAATAGGACTGGAGGCAAGATGATAGGAGGTACCGAGGCTGGAGGCAAAATGTTGGGAGGTAGTGGGGCCGAGGGCAAGATGATGGGAGGTAATGGGGCTGGTGGGCAAGATGATGTGAGGTACCGGTTCTGGGGGCAAGATGAAAGGAGGTAATGGGGCTGGGGGGCAAAATGATAGGAGGTAATAGGGCTGGGGGGGGGGGGGGGACAAGATGATGGGAGATAATGGGACTGGGGGGCAAGATGATGGGAGGTACCGAGGCTGGAGGCAAAATGATGGGAGGTAGTGGGGCCGAGGGCAAGATGATGGGAGAATGGGGCTGTTGGGCAAGATGATGGGGGAGGGGTACCGGGGCTGGGGGCAAGATGATAGGAGGTAATGGGGCTGGGGGGGCAAATGATAGGAGGTAATGGGGCTGGGGGGGAGGCAAGATGATGGGAGGTAATGGGACTGGGGGGCAAGATGATGTGAGGTACCGGGGCTGGGGGCAAGATAATGGGAGGTAATGGGACTGGGGGCAAGATGATGTGAGGTACCGGTTCTGGGGGCAAGATGATGGGAGGTAATGGGGCTGGAGGCAAGATGATGGGAGGTAATAGGGCTGAGGGCAAGATGATGGGAGGTAATGGGGCTGGAGGCAAGATGATGGGAGGTAATATGGCTGAGGGCAAAATGATGGGAGGTAACGGGGCTGGGTGGGGAGGGGGGCAAGATAATGGGAGGTAACGGGGCTGGGGGGCAAGATAATTGGAGGTAATGGGGGGGGGGGGGGGCAAGATGATGGGAGGTAATGGGGCTGAGGGCAAGATGATGGGAGGTGATGGGGTGGGGGGGGGGGGAACAAGATGATGGGAGGTAATGGAGCTGAGGGCAAGATGATGGGAGGTGATGGGGCTGAAGGCAAGATGATTGGAGGTAATGGGGCTGGGGGTCAAGATGATGGGAGGTAATGGGGCTGAGGGCAAGATGATGGGAGGTAATTGGGCTGAGGGCAAGATGATGGGAGGTAATGGGGCTGGAGGCAAGATGATGGGAGGTAATGGGGCTGAGGGCAAGATGGTGGGAGGTAATGAGGCTGGGGGGGGGGGCAAGATGGGAGGTAATGGGGCTGGGGGCAAAATGATGGGAAGTAATGGGGCTGAGGGCAAGATGATGGGAGGTAATGGGGCTGAGGACAAGATGATGGGAGGTAATGGGGCTGGGGTGGGGGGGGGAGCAAGATGATAGGAGGTGGTGGGGCTGGGGCAAAGATGATGGGAGATAATGGGGCAAGATGATGGGAGGTGATGGGGCTGAGGGCAAGATGATGGGAGGTAATGGGGCAAGATGATGGGAGGTAATGGGGCTGGGGGGCAAGATGAAGGGAGGTACTGGGGCTGGGGGCAAGATGATGGGAGGTACCCGGGCTGAGGGCAAGATGGTGGAGAGGTACTGGGGCTGAGGGCAAGATGATGGGAGGTACCGGGGCTGAGGGCAAGATGGCGGGAGGTACCGGGGCTGAGGCAAGATGATGGAAGGTACCGGGGCTGAGGCAAGATGATGGGAGGTACTGGGGCTGGGGGCAAGTTGATGGGAGGTAATAGGGCTAAGGGCAAGATGGTGGGAGGTACCGGGGCTGAGGGCAAGATGATGGGAGGTACCGGGGCTGAGGCAAGATGATGGGAGGTAATAGGGCTGAGGGCAAGATGATGGGAGGTACCGGGGCTGGGGGCAAGTTGATGGGAGGTAATAGGGCTGAGGGCAAGATGATGGGAGGTACCGGGGCTGAGGCAAGATGATGGGAGGTACCGGGGCTGGGGGCAAGATGATGGGAAGTAATGGGGCTGGGGGCAAGATGATGGAAGGTCTTGTGAATGGGGTTGGGGGCAAAGATGATGGGAGGTAATGGGGCTGGGGGCAAGATGGTGGGAAGTAATGGGGCTGGGGGCAAGATGATGGGAGGTACCGGGGCTGAGGCAAGATGATGGGAGGTAATGGGGCTGGGGGCAAGATGATGGGAGGTACCGGGGCTGAGGCAAGATGATGGGAGGTAATGGGGCTGGGGGCAAGATGATGGGAGGTACCGGGGCTGAGGCAAGATGATGGGAAGTAATGGGGCTGGGGGCAAGATGATGGGAGGTAATGGGGCTGGGGGCAAGATGATGGGAGGTAATGGGGCTGGGGGCAAGATGATGGGAGGTACCGGGGAATCCCACAGATGATGGGAGGTACCGAGGCTGGGGGAAAGATGGTGGGAGGTTATGTTTTCTATGGTATTAAGGAGAATTCCATCTGTCTTATCCTAGAGAGAGACAGAATCTGGATCCCGAACCTACTGGCTAGTTGCAGTTATGCTAGTTTACAATCTGCCATACGTTTTCTATGGTTCTAAGGAGAATTCCGTCCGTCTTATCCTAGAGAGAGAGACAGAATCTGGATCCTGAACACACTGGCTGTCTGCATCACGGCCAAGCTTCAATCGGATATAGACTTGTGGTGTTAAGGCGACGTCAGGCTGTCTAATCCTACAGTAAGGCAGAAACTGGATCCTGAACCCGTGGACTGTTGTCTAATGACAGTCTACAATCCGATCTGATTGAGTGTACCAATTACCTACAAGTGGTCTGAAAGAAAGGAACAGAACCTGAACACACTGGCTGATTGTCTCAATGCCAGCATCTTATTTAGCTTCTGCTGTATGTGGAAATCCTCCAGTCTGATTCAAAAGAAGGGCTGAACCTGCTGACCGAGCGTAAATGCCGAGTGTCATAAGGGACCAAAATCCTCTAGCCCCACGCATAATAACATAAAATCCCTCTTATTTTGTCTCTTTCACAAATTAGGACTAGGAAACGACACATCCACTACTGGCAATACACATCTCAATGGATGGATATCCGGCCATGACCTTGGTGACGCGAAAGGTAACGGCTACAAAAGATCTATAGAAACGGGAAAATGGAGTGAAATAAATCAAGCAGGAAACAGCGAGATGGTTGCTTTAAATGAATTTTATCGTAAGTACTTTTGTCCTCTGTTCATTTTCTTTTTTACTTTTAAATATGAACCTGTTCACGTTTCCCGGCCCATCTACACACTTCCTCAGTCTAATCTAGGTCAGAATGGTGTCTCAGTGTACTGCTTTTTTCGAAAATGGTCTCTTGTGTGACAAAGGCTCAGTCTGTTGGTGGGGAAGTTAGAGTTAGGGCCAGTTCTAGATGTTCTGGGGTCGTTGAAAGCTGTGTCGTCGTGTAGTTTAGAACATGCGACGTCGGCGCTGATGTAATTGGAGGCAAGACAATGTAGAAGACTCTTAGAAAGGATGAATGAAAGGTCAGACAGTGTGTAAATAGGCTGGGAAACGTGAATAGGACCTTAAATATTATCTCATTTTATGTGTACGTGGCTAAAATGTAAAAAACAATTTAACACTCATGGATGTATGGACCAAGACAGACATATATGACGGACAGACAGACATACAGGTAGGGATGTAGGTAGACAGACAAAAAAGGCAGACAGAATAAGAATAATATGTGGATTATTTTCAACAAGGTGACCAATATTTTCTTTCAACAGTAAAACCTCGCTAACACAAACTCAGTTAAGATGACTGTGAGCGTAACCTGAACACAATTTTGGTCTAAAGATGGATTTTTTTCCACAATGTATTCGCAATAGTTACCACTTAGAACGAACTTTTCTAACACGAACTCAGGCTTTTCGGTACCTTGGAATTCGTTTCAACGTTTTACTGTATTACACCAGATAATCCGCCCAAGATGGTCCCATCGACCCTTAGAAACAGGAGCAACAGCCACACCAGCATTTTAGAGAAGCTGATGACGCCTCGCACTACGGGGCGCCCCCACACGGACTACAACAATGGCTTGATCCGGAGCCAGGGCATCACAGGGAAGGGTACAAGCCATACCAGTTATGATTATTTTGGGAGAGATAGCCATTCTGCTGACCAGGCTGGTGTCACAAAGGGTGCAGAGAATGAGCGGAAAACGAACAACATTTGGCAGAGCACTGATAAAAATGGTAGGTTTTGTTAATTACAGATTATATAATTTTGTCACTCATATTTGGATTTCACGTTTTTACCTAACATCTAAATCTTCTTCTTGTTCAGCATTCTGAGCCATATCACCCCCCTCCATTCGTCTCTCTGGTTGGCCATGTCTTTCTAGTTGGGGACACCAAGCGTTTATATGTCTGTCTGTCTCCATCGTCTTCTTAGTTTGCCTAGTGGTCTACAACCATTCAGATGACTTATGTATACTTTTTTTTTATCTCTCTGTCATCTGACATTCTCTCAATATGCCCCAGCCATTTGAGTCTATTTGCTCTCATGAGGCCAGTGATCAATATAGTAATTTAAAGAGATTATCATTTTTGTTGTTTATTCTCACTCTCGATTCCCCACTGTTTGCATCTTTGATAGGTCAAAAAAGATTTGTTGTAACACTCTTGTTTTAAAAAACAATGTGTAATAAGGCGTCATCTCATTTAGTTGTGCGTATGAGCTCCAGGGCCCCACGGGGGAAAGGGGGGGGGGGGTAATGTTGGTGAGACACGGGCCGATTGCTCCACACACACACAAAAACAGGTAAAAAACGGCGACTAATTGGAGGTATTTTCTTTGAAGTCGGAGTACATCTGCCTGAGGTGAAGAAATAACAGTCTGCATACAAATAAGCAAGGTCTGTAAAATGGAACCGCATGCAAAATTCAAGTTCTAAAACAAAACTAAAGTCCAAAAGTGGACAAATAACTAGAACTTCCCAGCCGAGTTTACAGTTTAGTGAACGCGAAGAAGACGATTCTCAAAACTTCTCGGCCATGTTTTTTTCCTTATTGTAGTTCAAACTGTTTCATTTGTAGATCTCACCAGCAGTGCCGTGAACTCAACAACAGAGGATTCGGTTCAGAACACCATCATACAGACAGAAAGTACTCGAACATCTGGCCATGACAGTGCTGTACAACAACTACAACAATCAAGAGTGGAGCCACCTGTGGTAAACAGTGTGGCCATTGCTTCTTCGGCCGCAGTGGACAATACAAGTGACTTCTTTCGGGAGTCTGGTCTTACCAGGTTAGTTATTATTATTTGTATCTTCTTCTTCTTCATTCATGTTTACCAGCCGCAAACTCTGGCAGAAAGTTCTGGGTGTTCGTCCACCTTCTGATTTTAGCCTTGTTCCAGTACCTGAGTGTTGCGTACACATCCATTTCACACATCTGGTTTTTTTTTAAATGTAAGCTCTTGGTTCCTTGTCTCTCAGGCAGATGCACTCCAACTTCAAAGGATGCCCCCTAATTAGTCGACTCCTACGACATGCTTGTTGGGAAGGCAGGGGGTCTGTTTTTGTTTTCCCCACCATTTTAATTAAAACTTTAAAAAAAAATTAAAAAAAGAGGCATTGATGCTGGAACCTGTGGGCTTAAGCCCATTAAAGCCCCCCCCCCACCCCCCATGAAAAGGTGTTGGTTAAAAAAAGGGGCGGAAAGGGAAGGAAAAACTCACCTTGGAAATTTGTTCAGGGCTAAATGGATTATTAGTTTTACTATGCATCTAAACAAGGTTTAGGCCCCTTGCCACTAAAAACTTTGTAAAAAGCTTAACACCCTCCCCAAGTTTTCTTTATATCAGTGCATCAAAAGAGGAGGACGAAGAGCACCAAGCCAACCAACAACAAGATAAAAGATAAAGGGGGCTGCATGGTCTCGAGGCATAGCGTCCGCCTCGAGTGCTAGAGGTCCTGGGTTCAGGCCCCGGTGAGACTGTTTTTTCACATGGACTTCTAATAATTTCCCCTGGGCTCTGGGTAGTAAAATTGGACACCAGTGTATATCGTACAAGATGCAGCAAAATATGCCAGGCATTAATTGTGAAATATATTAGTTGTGTGTTGACTATTTCTTCTTCTTCGTCCTAGTGTCACTGGCTGTAAACTCCAGTGTAGGTTCTGGCTGTTTGTCAACATTTAGACTGTGATCTTACTCCAGAATTGGTGCGTGTACATCAGTTTTCTTCTTCTTCTTCGCGTTCACCAGCTGTACACTCTGGCGGAAAGTTCTGGTTGTTCGTCCACACCTGGACTGCAATCCTGCTCCAGAACCTGAGCGTTGCGTGTGCATCAGTTTTACAGATCTGATTCACTTGAATGCAGACTGTTGGTTCCTTGCCTCTCAGGCAGATGTACTCCGACTTCAAAGGAAGCTACAAATTAGTCGACTCTTACGACATGCTTTCTGGTAGGCAGTGGGACTATTCTTGTTTTCCCCCACAATGGGGCCCCGGATCCCACACGGGTATACATCAGTTTTATAGTTCTGGCTTTAAAAAAAAAATTTTTGTTGAAGGCTGTTGGTTCCTCACCTCTCAGACAGAAGCACTCTAAATTCGACAGTTTGTCCCCCCCCCCCCCCCCCCCCCCAAGATGCCCACCCTTTCTCCCCAGCCGAACCCACACAGGGAGTTCTCATTATTTAAAATATGCCTGTTTATATTTCAGGGAGACATTAAGCCCAGGCTACAATGTGATAACGGAGACATCGAGCTACATGAAGAGAGTTGTAGAGGAGACGGAAACAGTCACAACTGGCTAAATAATGGCTGGCAAAGTAAATATGACAGGCAAGAGGCAGCTATCATAACTACACCAGGCAAGGAGGGGCTGACGTGCCCCCTGCATAATTTTAAGGGGGCTAAATGGCACCCAAACTATGTATACATATTCTCTTTTTAAACATTTATTTATAGATTTCATATGCCGGGCTCTCCAGCGTAGTTGGCTAAACCGGACTGCGCGGTGACCTGGTAGAAAAGCCACATTTTCTCCCAGATTTACGGTACCTATCATGGAATGAAGGCCGAAGGGTTGCGATATCAATAGTAACGAGCCAAAGGGTTAACAACTCATGGTTTATGGATATTTAAAAAAAAAAAAATTAGATTTCATATAATTTAATGTACCTTATTATGTTTATTGACCCTTTAGAACAGTGGTTCTCAACCGGCCGGTCGCGACTCTTTTTTGGGTCAAATGACCCTTTCACAGGAGTCTCCTAAGACCATCGAAAAACACATATTCATTAGTTATGAAGGAAAATAATTGTTTGTGGGTTGCCACAACATGAGGGAACTGTATTAAAGGGTCACCACAACATAGGGGAACTGTATTAAAGGGTCACCAGCACATGAGGGAACTGTATTAAAGGGTCACCACAACATGAGGGAACTGTATTAAAGGGTCACCCGCACATGAAGGAAATGTATTAAAGGGTCACCAGCACATGAGGAACTGTATTAAAGGGTCACCACAACATGAGGGAACTGTATTAAAGGGTCACCAGCACATGAGGGAACTGTATTAAAGGGTCACCACAACATGAGGGAACTGTATTAAAGGGTCACCAGCACACGATGGAACTGTATTAAAGGGTCACCAGCACACGAGGGAACTGTATTAAAGGGTAACCAGCACATGAGGGAACTGTATTAAAGGGTCACCACAACATGAGGGAACTGTATTAAAGGGTCACCAGCACACAAGAGAACTGTATTAAAGGGTCACCACAACATGAGGGAACTGTATTAAAGGGTCACTACAACATGAGGGAACTGTATTAAAGGGTCACCACAACATGAGGGAACTGTATTAAAGGGTCACCAGCACACGAGGGAACTGTATTAAAGGGTCACCACAACATGAGGGAACTGTATTAAAGGGTCACCAGCACACGGGGGAACTGTATTAAAGGGTCACCAGCACATGAGGAACTGTATTAAAGGGTCACCACAACATAGGGGAACTGTATTAAAGGGTCACCAGCACATGAGGGAAATGTATTAAAGGGTCACCACAACATGAGGGAACTGTATTAAAGGGTCACCCGCACATGAAGGAAATGTATTAAAGGGTCACCAGCACATGAGGAACTGTATTAAAGGGTTACCACAACATGAGGGAACTGTATTAAAAGGTCACCAGCACATGAGGGAACTGTATTAAAGGGTCACCACAACATGAGGGAACTGTATTAAAGGGTCACCAGCACACGATGGAACTGTATTAAAGGGTCACCAGCACACGAGGGAACTGTATTAAAGGGTCACCAGCACATGAGGGAACTGTATTAAAGGGTCACCACAACATGAGGGAACTGTATTAAAGGGTCACCAGCACACAAGAGAACTGTATTAAAGGGTCACCAGCACATGAGGGAACTGTATTAACGGGTCACCAGCACACGAGGGAACTGTATTAAAGGGTCACCACAACATGAGGGAACTAATAAAGGGTCACCACAACATGAGGGAACTGTATTAAAGGGTCACCACAACATGAGGGAACTGTTTTAAAGGGTCACCAGCACACAAGGGAACTGTATTAAAGGGTCACCACAACATGAGGGAACTGTATTAAAGGGTCACCAGCACATGAGGGAACTGTATTAAAGGGTCACCAGCACATGAAGGAAATGTATTAAAGGGTCACCACAACATGAGGGAACTGTATTAAAGGGTCACCACAACATGAGGGAACTGTATTAAAGGGTCACCAGCACATGAAGGAAATGTATTAAAGGGTCACCACAACATGAGGGAACTGTATTAAAGGGTCACCACAACATGAGGGAACTGTATTAAAGGGTCACTAGCACATGAGGGAACTGTATTAAAGGGTCACCACAACATGAGGGAACTGTATTAAAGGGTCACCAGCACATGGGAACTGTATTAAAGGGTCACCACAACATGAGGGAACTGTATTAAAGGGTCACCAGCACATGAGGGAACTGTATTGAAGGGTCACCACAACATGAGGGAACTGTATTAAAGGGTCACCAGCACATGAATGAAATGTATTAAAGAGTCACCACAACATGAGAGAACTGTATTAAAGAGTCACCACAACATGAGGGAAATGTATTAAAGGGTCACCACAACATGAGGGAAATGTATTAAAAAGTCACCAGCACATGAGGGAACTGTATTAAAGGGTCACCACAACATGAGGGAAATGTATTAAAAAGTCACCAGCACATGAGGGAACTGTATTAAAGGGTCACCACAACATGAGGGAACTGTATTAAAGGGTCACCACAACATGAGGGAACTGTATTAAAGGGTCACCAGCACATGAGGGAACTGTATTAAAGGGTCACCACGACATGAGGGAACTGTATTAAAGGGTCACCAGCACATGAGGGAACTGTATTAAAGGGTCACCACGACATGAGGGAACTGTATTAAAGGGTCACCAGCACATGAGGGAACTGTATTAAAGGGTCACCAGCACATGAGGGAACTGTATTAAAGGGTCACCACAACATGAGGGAAATGTATTAAAGAGTCACCACAACATGAGGGAAATGTATTAAAGGGTCACCACAACATGAGGGAAATGTATTAAAAAGTCACCAGCACATGAGGGAACTGTATTAAAGGGTCACCACAACATGAGGGAACTGTATTAAAGGGTCACCACAACATGAGGGAACTGTATTAAAGGGTCACCAGCACATGAGGGAACTGTATTAAAGGGTCACCACGACATGAGGGAACTGTATTAAAGGGTCACCACAACATGAGGGAACTGTATTAAAGGGTCACCACGACATGAGGGAACTGTATTAAAGGGTCACCAGCACATGAAGGAAATGTATTAAAGGGTCACCACGACATGAGGGAACTGTATTAAAGGGTCACCAGCACATGAGGGAAATGTATTAAAGGGTGGTGGCATTGGGCAGGTTGAGAGCCACTGCTTTAGAACATAATAAATGTCATTATAATAGGCATTATTATTAGTCCTGAAGCCCTTTGTGCCCCCCCCCCCCCCTTCCATTCCTCTAGGTAATTTTTAAACTACTACAATTCAACATAGTAAATGATGGAGATCCAGTTAGTCGGGCTAGTAATGTGGAGTCTGTAATTGTGACTGTAACTCTCATAAACTTCATTTCACTTTCCTCCCGGTTTGATTTTTTAAATTGTGTCTTTCTAACTTTGTATTAGTATTACATAAGTACAGCTTTAAAGAAAAAAAAATAACAACACAACAATTGTGTAAATTACTAACTGTAAACACGAACACTCAAAGATAGTCATCTTGTATCAAGCATGGGAAAACCCTAGTTTTTTAACCCGCCACAGGTTTATTAATTACTTAGTCTATATTCTGTACACCAATTCAAGATTAAACAGATGTAACACTTGAGACCCCAACAAAAAGTAAAGTAACATAAAAAATAGCTAGTAATACTGATAGTTCACTAGCTGATAGATCCAGGTTCAAGCCCCAGTGACCTAGTAATTTCCTCTGGTCTCTGAGTAGTAAGATCGGAGGCCATGTGTATTCTTGCGCACGTAAAAAAATATCTTGTCAGTTGGAAATAGAAAAGAGTAGTCTAACGGTGCTACCCGGGCAAAATGTGGAGTTAAAAATCTACCCAAAGTATTTCAAATCCTCGCTGGTGCTACAGAGCTTGTGCACTGTGCTGAGATTGAGGCTTGAGTTAGAAGTAGAATGGAGCACTTATGGGTTACACCCGTGTGCTATGATGTTGATCCATTGAATAAACAAAAACTAATAGTCAAATAAACACAGACAGAAATTATCATACCCACTGGCAAGGCATCAGTAGATTTTAAAAAGTGTGAACAAAATATAGAACTCTGTTACACAGTTTTAGAGGCAAGTTACAAATGTCCACTTCTAATATTATTTCAGTTTTAACATACGCCAGTGAAAGTTGAAGAACACTGAAGATACATAAGAACAGTTTTCTTAGAATGTATTCTTTCTCAGACTTACTGCTTCTTAAGTAGTCTCACTGTTTTCATCAGAATAATGGGAAATAAATAATGAAACTTTTAACACACAAATCTTAACATTTTATTAAAGTTTATTGTCCTGGCATTCTGAATTAAGTACCCAGAAAGTCCTTATACACACTAAAAGTCGTCCCCATGTGGGATGCAATGTTTTGTTATTTTGAAGCCCCACCCTGGCTGTTGCCAGCAGCCCTAATATAACCTGATGGTTGAACAGGGTCTGGGACCTTTCAACGGGTGATCCTCATCCGCATGGTAGCACTTTGTGTCAACAGGTATTTATCGCTCTGTGTGATGTCCTAGTGGAGTAAACCTTACTTACCCAGAAAGTTAACAGAAATTGAGTTTTAAAAATTGACTAATTTCAGCAACAATAAAGTTAATAATATAATCAACTTTACTGGGCGCTGAGTGAATTACAAAAGACACTGAAGTTCATACTAGAGACAACAATGCAGATAGAGATAATTTATTTCAAGTGTACGAAAGAAGAAGAAAAAAAAAGAATAATATGATATAATTAATCACAAGAATGTTAACTGATCTGCATAACAAGAAAGAAATTCATTTGTTTTGATAGGAAATGTTAGCCGCATGGTCCTCTTCAGGATGTCACACAACTATACTCAGAATCTACTGGCTGCTTGTGGTTTTACAGTTTGCTATTGTGTTCCGAACAGAATGATTCTCAGGGAGGACAGAAAAAGTGCTATAAGGACACTCTCAAGACTGCTTCTTTTTGGCATCAACACAATGACGTGGGAGGCTGCTGCACAAGACCATTCTGGATGTCATATGTCCTTCAGGCATGGTGCATCGGCCTGCCAGGCAGCGGAGGTAGCACAGGCAAAGAAACAGAGGCAGACTAGAAAGAATCGTACTGTTAATCCCACACTAACTGCAGCTTTCATCTGTTGTCCGCACTGCTCAAGAACTTTCCTGGCTCATATTGGACTAATCAGCCACCTTTGCACTCATAATCATTGATCATTACTACTTTGGATGAAAGTGGTCTTCATCACTCAAGATGGACGAACAACATGATTCTCATATCACTGGCTTGAAATCAGTTGTACAGACATGTCGTAGTTGTAACTGACTCAAAGAGCATGTTGAGAAAGGTGGAGACAGGTATGCTGCATGCTGAGTGGTAAGCATTGCTTCAGAGGTCCTGGGTAGTTAGCGTCCTTTAGATATTTTCTCCAGGTTATGCTGGTGTGTTGGGAAATGAGCAGGCAGATAGACTGGCCAGTTCTGCACCACTTGGTGGTGAATGACAAGATAGATGTTGTGAAGGTCCTTTGGGAGTGAGTGAACAAAGTGGAGGCACAAATTGATCATTACAGTCTGCAAGAAGTTACCAAGGGATCTGGCTAATGCTCAAAACTCAAGGGAAAGACGAGACAAATGTACAATCAGACAGTTACTGGTGCCATTGGAATTGAAACTCTTCGCATGCTGCTGAAGATGGGGCTGGAGCCCTTATAGGAGTGTCCTGAGTGATGTGATGTTGATTCTTAATTTAATGTTAAACATTCATTCAACAATACTTAAATATTTCAAAACAAGAAATTTTAAAAATATTTCTGAACATCAAACATATACATATTAACAAGAACAAATAAAATATTAATATAGTTTTAAAATGCTGCAGTTTGGTACGTCTCCCTGTTGTGTTGGTTCAGACAAGATCATCATTTTCCCCGAGCAACGACACTGTTAAATCTAGGTCGTTTCTGCAGCTCATCTTGCTTATTCAGCACAAACTTGCTAGAGATACCAGGACTCCTGGATGGTTTCAGAACAGACAACAAAGTTTCGGAAATTTTTAACAGACAGTAAATAACAAGTATTAGATGCAAAGATATACAAGAAATTCAACACTGTGGACCCAGAATTTACTTATGAGGACAGGCATCACAGAACACTCAACAATTCTGTAGACAGGCTTTCTGTATGTGGTAGGGGGGTGCCAAGTCTTGCCAGTTAGCATAATGAGGAAACATAACTGTGCAGGACCAGTGCAGAACATGCAATGTACCAAGTCTTCATAGAGGTCTGTGGCCTATCTGAAAACCACTGACTGGGAGGAAACACAACTGTATGGACCAGTGCAGGACAAGCACTCATACCAAGTCTTCATAGAGAGAGGTCTGTGGCCTTTCTTATCTGAAAACCACTGACTGGGAGGAAACATAACTGTACATACCAGTGCAGAACATGCATTGTACCAAGTCTTCAAAGAGAGAGGTCTGTGGCCTTCTCATCTGAAAACCACTGACTGGGAGGAAACATAACTGTACATACCAGTGCAGAACATGCATTGTACCAAGTCTTCATAGAGAGAGGTCTGTGGCCTTTCTCATCTGAAAACCACTGACTGGGAGAAGGAAATGAAGAAGATGTCAACAACAGAGACTATAAAAACTGGGAGTTCCCTGTGGCCTGTTCTGGGACTCCATTCTGGGGGGAAACAGAACAGACACTCTGGCCCCCCTGATAAGCATGTTGTAAAAGACAACTAGTTAGAGGGTTTTTCTTTTAAGTGGAAATGAATCTGCCAGAGAGGTGGGGTGAGGGGAGGTGCATAAAATAAGCCAGATCTGTAAAAATGAATGTTTACATAAAACTCAAGTTCTGGAACATGACCAAAGTCCAGAAGTGGACAAACAACCAGAACTTTCTACCAGAGTTTACAGCTAGCGATTGCTAAGCAGAAGAAGAACAATGGGAGTGCCTTTCCTTGTTATGTGTCCATTGTGACCTAATAATGACAGTCTGGTTGATTAAAAGATGGAAGACTGTAAATGGCTGCGTTTATCTCTCAACAGTGAACACTTTATTTAACTAGTCAAATGACGGTGAACCAAGAGGTGAGAAAAACAATCAGAGAGTGAAGTGGAAAAAATATGGAGAGGACATGGGCTGAGCAATAAGATAGGGCAACTAAGCAAGAGTTGGTTTACGGCCTGTGTTCCACTGGGGGTTAAAGGGCTAAAATGTTAATATCAAACACATTTCAAGAATTTCATTAGGATTCAAGAAAAAAACACTGCATCACAAACATCAAACGAAGTGATACTGTCAACAACTGTGTGTGCATTTTTTAATGAAGCAAAGTGGTTAACTCTTTAGGTACAAGGATATTTAGCTAGACCTTCTCAAGATCTCAGTAATCCTAATGAACACACAGTGTGACAGCCTGGGTGTCACAGATGCAGCAAACATATACAGAGTTGGGCATTTGTGTAGCTAGCCACTTTTCTATAATATGTTCACACTTAAAGCCAGCCTGGGTGTCACAGATGCAGCAAACTTATACAGAGTTGGGCATTTGTGTAGCTAGCCACTTTTCTATAATATGTTCACACTTAAAGCCAGCCTAGGAAGTCACCATGGCATAGCGGCTAGGTACACGCGTACAGATTGAAAAGTCGTGGGTTCGCTCCCTGGCGAAGCCAGGCTTTGAAAAAAAAATGACCTTAACTCCCAGATCGACCAAGCATTGAGTTGGTGCCAGGTGCAGTCCCGGGAAGTAAAGGCGGCCAGCGTCATGCTGACCACATCATTCATCTTGTGCCGATTGGTCTATAAAAAAAAATAGGTCTAGCCCTATATGCCCTATACACCTAAAGGCATGGAAAAAGAACCTTTAAGTTCTTTATTAATATATGACCACAGATGATGTCACAGAACAGACCAACGTTTTAGGGGGTGGTATGACTGGGTTTCCTGGCTTTCTGATGCTGTTAATGACCTCAAAACATCTAGAACTGGTCCTAACGCCAACCCACCTACGTCCCACAAGAGAGTGCAGCCTAGGTCCCACGACTACATGCAGCCTATCTACCACCCCCTGAAATATTAAACTGTCCAGCGACCTGTGAATTTCCCCTGTTTGGGGTAGGATATTAATAAAGCACCACCTTTACTACTACTTTTAAAAAATACAGAGCTGATATCATCAGTGATGTACGGACTAGGTTGGGGGATAATGTTGAATCTCCTACCTAACACGATTGTGTAACCAAGGAGCTAAGCTGGGTGAAGCACGTCTGTCATCTTTGAGGTGAAGACGAGAGATACAATAACCAACTTCTTATGAGTTAGATCAGTTGAGGACATGAATTATTTGTTTGATGATAAATAAATGGGCTGTTAAAAAATATTTATCATCAAAATCATAATTCATTCAATAAAACATGTTGCAAATTAATTAAACTGTAGTTCAATATGTGTACAAATCTACTCGATAAACAAGTGTTACCAATGACTGGCCACACCAGACTTAAAAAAACGGTAATTCCTGTTTCAGCTAATGGCCTTATATCTGGAGCTGGCCGTGACTGAGCACATCACCAAATGAGTGCTGACTGGACTATAAAAATATTGTTCTAGCACCATACATGCAATGTTTATGATTAAAAAAATAGTCCTTTACCCTGTTTTTTTTTTCTAGCTACAGCCTTCAGTGGACGCTGGCAGGAGCATGTTATATTCATATTTCATGTGTGTGTATGGTACTATTTCTTGATTCCCGGGTAGTTAGCGTCTTTGGATATTTTCTCCAGGTCATGCTGGTGTGTTGGAAAATGAACAAGCAGAAAAACTGGCTTGGCTTTGCACCACTTGGTGGTGAACTGCTGTACGACAAGCTAGATGTTGCAAGGGCCCTTTAGGGGGCGAGTGAACAGTGCCAAGGCACAAATAGGTCATTGCAGTCTGAGGAGAATAGCACTGCAGAGGCGTTACCAGGGGATCTGGCCCACGCTCAACACCAAGGGGAAAGGCAAGGCTGATTTACAGTCAGATAGTTACTGGTACCGCCAGAACTGGAACTCTTCACTTGCTGCTGAAGATGGGGTCAGAGTGCTTATTTGAGTGTCCTGAGTGCTATGATGTTGATTTTTAATTCAGCATTCAACATTTTTGATAACAAGGGACTATATTAAATTTTAAGGTGAGAATAATACATACGACATCAAGAGTTCCATTGTGTGCTGTGTATCTTTAGCTTTTTTATGATTCTTTCCCAAAAGAATAGATTCAATGTTGTAACACTGTCAAGAAAAACAGAAAAAATAAAAATAGATTTTAAAAAATAGCTTTTACTGACTCCTTACTTAAGTCATTTCTATATTTATTTATTCAAACATCTCTCTCTGTCTGTCTAAAGGTGGAGACAGGCATGCTCCGTGCAGTGGTGAGCATCACTTCAGAGGTCTCGTGTAGTTAGCATCTTTGGATATTTTCTTTAGGATATGCCGGTGTGTTGAGAAATTAGCAGGCAGATAGACTGGCTGGTTCTGCACCGCTTGGAGGTGAAGTGATGTGTGACAAGCTGGATGCTGTTAGGGCTCTTTGGGAGCGACTGTGTGACAAGCTGGATGCTGTTAGGGCTCTTTGGGAGCGACTGTGTGTGACAAGCTGGATGCTGTTAGGGCTCTTTGGGAGCGACTGTGTGACAAGCTGGATGCTGTTAGGGCTCTTTGGGAGCGACTGTGTGACAAGCTGGATGCTGTTAGGGCTCTTTGGGAGCGACTGTGTGTGACAAGCTGGATGCTGTTAGGGCTCTTTGGGAGCGACTGTGTGACAAGCTGGATGCTGTTAGGGCTCTTTGGGAGCGACTGTGTGACAAGCTGGATGCTGTTAGGGCTCTTTGGGAGCGACTGTGTGACAAGCTGGATGCTGTTAGGGCTCTTTGGGAGCGACTGTGTGACAAGCTGGATGCTGTTAGGGCTCTTTGGGAGCGACTGTGTGACAAGCTGGATGCTGTTAGGGCTCTTTGGGAGCGACTGTGTGACAAGCTGGATGCTGTTAGGGCTCTTTGGGAGCGACTGTGTGTGACAAGCTGGATGCTGTTAGGGCTCTTTGGGAGCGAATGTGTGTGACAAGCTGGATGCTGTTAGGGCTCTTTGGGAGCGACTGAACACTCGGAGGCACAGATAAATCATTACGGTCAGGGGAGAATGACGCGGGGAGGAGTTACCAAGGGATCTGGCTGGCACTCAACACTCAGGGAAAAGGCGAGATGTATATACAATCAGACAGTTACTGGTGTCCTCGGAACTGGAATTCTTCACTTGCTGCTGAAGATGGGGACGGAGGTGGTGTCCTGAGTGCTGTGATGGCGATTCCTTATTCAACACTCAACATTCTCTGTCCTGCTTCCTACATTCTTTCTTTTTTCTTTTCCGTCTTCTTCCACCACCATACCTTGATGGCTAGGACATGCTTGGAGGATAGAGGTTGGTGAAGTCCCTCAAAACATCCTCAATGGTTGAATTACAGATGTGTAGAAGATGTCAGGGTCGGCCTCTACTGTTATTAAAAGATGTGTGCAAGTGGGACATGAATGATACAGGTACTGAGATGGATTCCTGGCAACAGGAAGCCTCGTGAATTGCATTGCAAGGAGGGGGAGAACAGTAAGGGAACAGGGGGGAAAAAAAGAAAAGGACTGCAGACAGGTTGAGAGCTGAGTGACTGAGAATCTGCCATCTAAGACAGATGATCCTCCATGCCATGATGTCAAACTGTCCAGCAACTTTTCTCTCAGTCTCCCTCTGCCTCTCCTCCCCTCCAACTTTCCTACTGTCATGATGTGCTCCAGTTTTCTCCTTCTCATCAAATGACCAAAGAATGTAGAGTCTCTATCTGATGTGGGCAATCAGTTCTCTTCATTTGTCAGTTTTCCAGTACTCCTTTTTTTTCTTTCTGTCCAGGGTGTTCTACGAATCATTCGTCTATAAAACTGCAGCTTCCAAATAAGTTCTCACTAATTTACCAACATTATATTCTTTACCTTTTTATAATTTTGTAGAGCTGTCTGTATGTTGCCTTCAGCTAAATGGATGCTGCCCATCAATTTGTAAGTGTCGGACACTTGCTCAGAATAATCGCCAAACACTTCACACTTGGCTGGCAGGCTTGATTTTAAAATCTGCATTGCTTCCTGTTCATGTCAAAGAAAGAATGAATGAATAAATGGATAGACAGATGGATAGATGAGTGAATGAGTCGAGAACTGACATAACTGCATTCAGGTCATTTTCATTTAGGCTTTGTAGCCTCCTTCAGTTGCCAGTGAAAAGTTCACATGCCTCAATGATGACAAATGGCAAAAATAAAGAAAAACATGTCATTCATAATTTTAAATATATAGTAAAACCTTGATGACATGAACTCACTTATGCTACATTGGGGAAATGATTTGGAAGTTAGAAGATAACTTCCATGAAAATTTTATGGATAGTGACAATGAGGCTTTTTAAACTAGTTTCTGTCCATTTAAATAGCTATGACCACCACAGCAAAATAAAAATCTCATATACTGCCACAAAATCTTGCTCCAGTGATCAAGCCAGCCGCTTCACCTTCATTCACAATTTTGGTGTTCTCAGTCCTGCAGGGATCAATATCTAGCATACCTATATTTAATCAGGGGTCTCCGTGGCAAAGTGGTCAAGCTATTTGCCTCGCACTTTGAAGGTTGTGTGTTCACTCCACAGTCGTGCCCTTCGGTTCACAATTGCAATTTTTACGGAGGTTCATGGAGATTGTTGCTGGAGCTATGGGGTTCATGCTTTGTGTGCCACTTTCAGCAGGCGGCTAGCTGTTCTGAGGAGAGAAGAAAGACAAAGTTATATGGAATAAAACCCGGCGCAATAAAGTCGATCCACTAGACTTTAATCTTTAACCTTTAACCTATATTTAATTTTTTTAAATTTTGCTTGTTTATATTTCACCCTGTATTTCAGGCACCTTCTTATCTGTTTTGTTATATAACTTTCCTCTTCATGCCCATATTTTATCCTGTTACATATTTCCAATTTCGTGTTAACTTCAGCAGTTTATGTGCTCTGTTAACTTGCTTGCTGAGTTTTCCAGTCACAGTTTGTTGTTGTATTTAGCACTGAAAAGTTTGGTTGTATTTGTGAGAATGTTTTCCATTCCCTCTGTTGAGCTTTCTAGCTACAGTCTGTGTTGCCTTTAATACTTCTTAACTTGGGAGAGACATGACAGAAGCTGCAAAGAAGGAAAGGAATAATAGGGCTCTGCGACAACAACATAATTTTTGAAGGTATGTGCTATTCAATTAAGAAAAGTTTGGAAGCAACCGAGATGTGGTTCTTCAGAAGAATGTTGTGAATACCTTAGACTGCCAGAATAACTAACAATGATTGCATGGAAATGGCTAATGAGAGTAGGACGTTATATAAACAACAATGAGAAGGAGACGAACATAGTTCTTTAGTCATGTGATGAGAAAAGGAGCACCAGAAAATATCATAATGACTGGAAAGATCAGTGAGAAGAAGCAGAGGCAGACCAAGAAAAGTGATGGTGGAGCGCTTAAGAGAGTGGCTTGGATGAATATCATCAGGGGAGTTGATCCAGAACACCAAAGACAGAGATCTGTGGAGATGCATGAACATCTACACTAGCTGGCAAGGCACTTGATGATGATGATGTGCCAAACTAGGGGGAGGGAAGGCAGTCAATGAAAGAAAAAAGAATGACTCACCCTGGTTTTGTCAGTTCTGATCATCACTTTCACTAAATGATCTTGAACCTCCAAAGTCTTTGAATGGCTCGGGCCATATATAGTTGTACATGTATTCAGTGATTCTTCTAAGTAACTCATGGCCGATGCTGTCAAACAAATTAACCCTGTGCTAATTATGTGATCACAACAAGCTGATCTAGGGCTAGTAATCACACTATAACTAGTTAACCCTGTGCTAATTATGTGATCACAACAAGCTGATCTAGGGCTAGTAATCACACTATAACTAGTTAACCCTGTGCTAATTATGTGATCACAACAAGCTGATCTAGGGCTAGTAATCACACTATAACTAGTTAACCCTGTGCTAATTATGTGATCACAACAAGCTGATCTAGGGCTAGTAATCAGACTATAACTAGTTAACCCTGTGCTAATTATGTGATCACAACAAGCTGATCTAGGGCTAATAATCACACCATAACTAGTTTACCTTGTGCTAATCGTGAGATTATGACAGATTAATCTGGCAGAAATAATGAGATTTTATAATTCTATGCTAATAACAATTTACAGAAAAAAAGGGGTTCCTTGCGGCCTTATATTTTATAAACAAATAGACAAATACTGAACGGCACTCATAGAAAGAGGTAGAAAGAGAGGACTCGCCAGACAACATAACATTTAAAGACTATAGTTACCATGCCAGGAATCATGGCTAATGAAGACCCACCTTTGTGGGGGGGGGGGGGGCCTAGTTGGTCATGCATCTAAGTATACTTGTTCCTGCGGTGAAGCACTGTTGTCATCTGGAGGTGACAGGTTTGATTCCCTTTTAACTTTCTACATCTTTCTATGAGTGCTTATTAATACAACCACTGGCATAATGCTGACCACATTACCCACATAGTGCTGATTGGTCTGTAAAAATATGCCCGATGCTCCTAAGGCATAAAAAGGGATCTTACTTTACTTATTAATATAAGCCTATATACGCAAATAATGTTATAACAAATTAGTCCCCCGCTAATGATGAGCTAATGAAAGTGACAAATAGTTTTCCTTACATGTATTGTATCTACCAGTTTTTTAGGGAGTGAAAGACATGAGGTCTTGAAGTGACAGGTTCAATTCCTGGCAGGCTAACTATAGCTTTCAATTTTTATGTTGTTTAGTGTGTGTTTTTAACTTTCTGTTTCTTTCTATGAGTGCCGATTAACACTAGTCTATTTATTTTTTATATATACTCACAACGATATAAAGAAAATGATTCCTCTGCTAATGCTGAACTAATGAAACTGGAAAATATTTGTACTGCCTGTATCTACAATTTTTAGGGCGGTAAAAGACTTGAGGTAATGAGTGTCAGGATTGAAGGCCACATGGCTAGTGCAGTTGCCACAAACTGTTCAGGTTCAGATTTTATTTTTGTCCCTGATGATTTAAACACTGGTATCCAGATGGTCGGCGTCTGTGGCTTTAGTACTGCAAATGCACTTTATAATTCTGAGGTGCCGGGTTTGATCCCAGCTGTGGGCAATTTGGCAGCAGATGACCTTTCTTTTGTTTCAACAATGGTATCGAGAGCCGGCTGCTTAGAAAGTGATGGCAAACTACTGATCGCAAATATTGCCTAGTAAAAATCACAAACAGTCAAAAGAATTATGCAGTTGCTTCTGCAACCGGCCTGTCAAGGATGTGCAAATAATTTTGATCCCACATGAGAGCCCAGCATTAAAAGTGACCACAAAATGGCGAGAACGATGATGACAATCATGATGATGATGATGATGATACCTTCAGCTTCCTCCCAGCCTGTGCTGGCGTAAGCTTGAGATAAAGCCAACGCAGTGTCCACAAGCTCTGGATGCCCTGTCTTGTAACTGTCATTTAGAAGACAAAAAGAACAACAGAACTCTTGACTGCATCAGGATATTAAACTTCATCAGGATATTAAACTGCATCAGGATATTAAACTTCATCAGGATATTAAACTGCATCAGGATATTAAATTGCATCAGGATATTAAACTTCATCAGGATATTAAACTTCATCAGGATATTAAACTGCATCAGGATATTAAACTGCATCAGGATATTAAACTTCATCAGGATATTAAACTGCATCAGGATATTAAACTTCATCAGGATATTAAACTTCATCAGGATATTAAACTGCATCAGGATATTAAACTTCATCAGGATATTAAACTTCATCAGGATATTAAACTTCATCAGGATATTAAACTTCATCAGGATATTAAACTGCATCAGGATATTAAACTTCATCAGGATATTAAACTGCATCAGGATATTAAACTTCATCAGGATATTAAACTGCATCAGGATATTAAACTTCATCAGGATATTAAACTTCATCAGGATATTAAACTTCATCAGGATATTAAACTTCATCAGGATATTAAACTTCATCAGGATATTAAACTGCATCAGGATATTAAACTTCATCAGGATATTAAACTGCATCAGGATATTAAACTTCATCAGGATATTAAACTGCATCAGGATATTAAACTTCATCAGGATATTAAACTTCATCAGGATATTAAACTTCACAGATGTCAGAATATTTTAATGTCTTCTTCTTCGCTTCTTCTTTTATCATTTCAGATGTTGAGGTTCTGTTTTTTGCTCTTCTGGCTGTCTCGTTCATAGATACACCATGCTTTGTTCTTGTGCTACCTCTTGCTCTATGTCTCTCTCCTGTTTTGGTGGATATCTTGTACAGTTGAGTTGAGTTGATTTAAGAATCGACATTACAGCACTAGGGACATTCCCATAAGCACTCTGTCCCCATCTTCAGCAGCCAGTGCAGAGTTCTAATACCAATGGTACCAGAAGCATACTGATTATATGTCTGCCTTGCCTTTCCTCTGAGCGTTGACTATTGGCCAAAGCCCCTTATAACCTCTCACTGCATCACTCTTTCTAGATGAGTTGAGTTGAGTCAAGAATTGACATCACAGCACTTATGGCATTCCCATGCGTGCTCCATCCTCATCTTCAGCAGCCAGCACAGAGTTCCAATATTAATGGCATCAGCCCTAATCTGGTTATATGTCCATCTTGCCTTTCCCCTGAGTGTAGCGAGCCGGCAAGACCCTCTGGTTTGACTCAGGTGCATATAACTAGGGCATATATTTAGGGCAGGGCCTTTTTCAACATCCTGAAAAATCAAGCCAGGGTCAATTTTCAGGTTAGATCTAATTTTCAGGGAAACATGGTACTGCCAACATCACATGGACGTTCTGGTAGTACAGTAGCCAGATGCTTACCTGCTGGCACAATAGACTGGCTGGTTCTGCACCACTTGGTGGTGAATTGATGTATAACAAGTTAGATGTTGTGAGGGCCCTTTGGGAGTGAGTGAACTGTGAGGAGGCACAAAAGGATCATTATGGTCTGAGGAGAATGGCGCTGTGGGGAGTTACCAGGGGATCTGACAGACGCTTGGCACTTAAGGAAAAGGCGAGACGGATGTACATTCAGACAGTTACTGGTACTATCGGAATCAGAACTCTTCACTGGCTGCTGAAGATGGTGCACTCATGGGTGTGTCCCAAGTTTTGTGATGTCGATTATTAATTGAACATTCACCATTTATCTGCTGGCACCAAAGATTTGGGTTTCAACGCCCACTAAGGTGAAAACTGAGAGTGGGGGGGGGGGGGGGGGGGGGGTTGTTGTTGTTATCGATCCAGCGGCGCATGAGCTTTCGCCCTTTGGCCCAATGCAATGTTGTGGAATTTGCATGTTTTCACAAGCTGTTCTTTTCCTCCGTACAAGGTGTTCCACTTGTCTGGTTTCGGAGGGAGTAGCATTCTTCTAGTCTCGCTTAGTTTTGGGCACTCAAAGAGATGGTGTTCAACAGTTTCGTAGGGGTAGTTACATAGCTGGCACTCTGGGGAGTGTTGTGGCTGTATTATGTTTAGATGTCCACTGAGTGGAGTATGTTGTGTTCTAAGTCTGAAGATGGTGGCCTGGTCCCTTCTTGTTAGATGGGGGTGGGTTTAAACTTTGTCTCTTTTAGTAAATGCAGTAATTCCTGGCCCTTCTAAATGTGTGCACAGTTACAGTGCTAATAACTTGGCGCCATGGAAACAGGCCACTATGGCAAGTCAGAAAAGTGACTCTCGGGAAACTGGGCCCAAGTGTGAGTGCCAGTTTTATGGTTTCTTAGGAAGAAAGGGTTAATTTGAAAAAAAAAAATTCAATGACCTACTTACATTGCTGAAGCTATGGAGTGAGCCTGTAGGAAAAGACGAATGGCTTTTTCATGATTGGCATGTCTTCCTTTTGACTGCTCATGCTGGGGATAAAAAATATCATCATCATGTGAAGGAATAGCTGGTGATCCAGCACTAGATGGGTGGTTCTAGCTACTGTCATACCATGTGGACATGCCTCTTTAATGTCATTAATCCATATTTTTCCTGAATGCCCTCTTCTTCTCCTATCAGCTCTTCAAGGGGGTAGTCTCTGTGACAGTAACTGGTGTTGGCAAACATAATGTCTACAACATTTAATCTGCTGCTTCTCAGTTACCTTCCACTGACCCACACTGTGAACCCGTCACTAAGAGAACCCGTCACTAAGAGTACCCGTCACTGAGAGACCAATAGGGGCTAAAAAGACAATGACACAATAATGATTTTCAAAAAGCCATTTTTCCACAATATACTCCCCCTCCTATAGTATTTTTAGTTAATATAATCATATCCAGCCCTCATTAATACTGTGCAGGTACAAACACAACCAATGTCATTAACTAGGCTTGTCGAGCTAATTTTCCAAAGCCGATAATCAGGCTTCTTAACTAAAGGGTTAGGATGTATTACACTTATATCACTGTTCATTATCGCTAGATTTATTTAAAATATTTAATAGAGCAATTATATGTTAATGAGGAAAGATTGGAAGTGGTGGAAAATTTCGAATATCTTACCAACAATGGTGACACAATGAAAGAAATTAAACGGCGACTATCAATTGCTCTTCAAAGACTAAAACAACTGAATAAATTATGGAATTGTACAGATAGAATTACAAAGGTCAGATTTTTAAGAGCATGCATCTTTCCCATTGCAACATACGCCTGTGAGACCTGGACACTTACTAAACAAGCGGAACAGCGCATAAATGCATTTGAATATAAATGTTACAGACAGGTTCTAAGAATATCTTGGGTAAAGAAAAGAACAAATGCATCCATACTTCAAGAGCTGAATATTGAAGAGGGTTGGCTAGTAGAGACAATAAAACAAAGAAAATTGAAATATTTTGGTCACTTGAAACGTCATGGAAGTCTAGAGAGAACAATAATGGAGGGGTATATGCCTGGGAAGAGAGGAAGAGGAAGGCCAAGGAGAAGATGGGTGCAGGATGTGGCAGATGATCTCCAGATGGGTGTATCAGACGCAGGACATCTTGCTCAGGATAGGAAGGTTTTCCGGAGTGTTGTTATGGCAGCGAGGTTCCGCGAGGGACATGCTACTGAATGAATGAATAGAGCAACAAAGTCTGGCAAATAATATCAAAATATCTAGTTTGAGAATGGAGGTGGAGGCAGTCACAGCAACCTTCTGGTGGCTTGAGAATCAGCTGTACACACATGCTGTGACTGTGACTGACTAACAGAGCATGCTGAGAAAGGTGGAGACAGGCATGCTCGTTAAAATGTAATACTTCATAACAGAGCAAAAGCAGCCTTCGTCAGAGAGAGAAATAATCAGATGAGGGAAAGCTGGCACAAAAAGACAGCGTCATTTAACCTTCGAGAAGGACACTTCACGTCTGTGGAATCTCACAAAAAGCTTGAATGGAGACAAGACGGAAAAAGCCAGAGTTGTACTCCAAACAGACGATGGATCGTTTACTGGCAAGGTAGCAGCAGATGTGCTAGCCGAAACACACCAGAAGGGAATTGAGGTTCATATTCCCATGCAAAGAATAAAAGAAGTACGAAACCAGACCAAGACTATTCTAGCAGACTTTAGCACACAAAAACCGAGGCCTGCATGTCAGAAAGGTTTACCATGCAAGAGCTGGAAGTTGGAATTGGAGAGTTGAAAATGAAGAAAGCCCCAGGGGCTGACGGCATTACAAACGAATTTCTCTCTCATCTTGGACCTGCTGCCAAGAAGTTTCTCCTTTGCATCTACAACCAGAGCTGGCAAAAAGGGGTAGTACCGTCAGCCTGGAAGGAAGCCCTCATCCAGCCTATCCTTAAAAAGGGTGGAGACAGAAGAGACCCAAAAAGCTACAGACCTATTAGCCTTCTTAGTTGTGTAGGAAAATTGATGGAGAAATTAGTAAATAAAAGACTAATATGGTTCCTGGAGACAAACTCAGTAATCACCACCACCCAGACAGGATACAGACAGCACAGAAATACAGAGGACCAGTTGACATATCTTACACAGGAAATTGAGAATGCCTTCCAGGAAAAAAAGAAAGTTCTTGCTGTCTTTTTTGACCTCTCTCGTGCTTTTGATACAGTTTGGAAAGAAGGCCTACAACTAAAACTGCTACAGGCAGGAGTTGTGCACAACATGTACAAGTGGATCAAAGACTTTCTTTTCCAACGCAGAGCCAGATTCAGAATTGATGGACACATTGGCAAAACTTAGAGAAGGAGTTCCCCAGGGCAGTGCTATATCACCAACTCTGTTCCTGGTTTACATTAATGATATCACAGCAACCTGCCACCAGCACGTTTTTAATACCCTACATGCCGATGACTTTGCAGTTTGGACAGCCTCCGAATACACTACCACAGCCTCATATCTGTTACAAAAAACTGTGGAAAATGTAGAAGCCTGGACCGAAAAGTGGGGTCTAAAGCTAAATAAATCAAAAAGCACAGCATCACTTTTCTCTCTCTCCCCAAAAAAAGAAAAAATCGAAATTTGGATTAAAAACCAGCTCATTCCACAGACTGACACTCCTACCTTTCTGGGCGTTACACTTGATTCGCGACTAACTTGGAAGTCACATGTAGAAGCAGTACAGGGAAAAGCATTCAAGAAGCTTGCAGTTATGAAAAAATTAGCGGGTACCACATGGGGGCGCTAACTCTAGAATCCTAAAACAAATATATCCTGGAGCAGTCAGGCCAGTCATGGAATATGCCTCCACTGCATGGGCTGCAGCAGCCAAGACAACAATGGGAAAACTGGACAAGGTTCAGAATATGGAATTAAGGATTGTTCTCGGAGCCATGAAAACCACCCCCATCAGAGAAATAGAAAAGATAGCAGATACTGAACCACTCAAACTCAGAAGACAATACAAAACTCTTTTACAGTATGAGAAATTAAAAAGACTTCAAAGTCACCCACTGCATTTTAAATTTCAAGAGAGAACAAAAAACAGACTGAAGCGTCAGAGCCCCAACCACCTTGCTAGAGAACTGTACAGACAGCACCAAGATCTGCTTGAAAGAGATGTTGCACTGTGCGAAAAACTTAGGCCAGAACCATGGACAAGCAAGCCAGAGAAAGCAAATGTAGTCCTAAAGGTACCAGGAATCACTTCAAAAAATGCCCAGACGGAGACACAACAGAGAACCCTGGCTCTTGCTATGCTTGATGAGAAGTATCCAAACACCACTTGGACTCAGGTTTTCACCGACGGCTCTGATACAGATGCAGTCAGAAAGGGGGGTTGTGGAATTTACATTAAACCCCCTAGCAGTAGAGCAGAAACTCTCTCTCTACCAGCAGGTGACATCTGCACTAACTTCAGAGCTGAGGCAACTGCTCTCCTCTCTGCAGTCCAACATCTCATCACTCAAGAACACAGAGGGCATCAAATTGTTATACTTAGCGACTCATTGCCTGTTCTCCAAGCACTATCCAGCAAAAAACAAGACAAAATAATTGCTGATCTAAGGACCAACATTGGCTTACTCTCCAAAGAAGCAGAACTGGTCTTGCAGTGGATACCAGCCTACTGTGGTATTCAAGGAAATGAGAGAGCAGATGAGTTGGCAAAAGCTGGGAGTAATCTTCCACAACCCCATCCACCACACAGCTACAAGGAAACCAAAACAGCGCTAAAGCAGTCTCTCAAGCGGGAGTGGAGAAGGCAGAATGGAGATTACAGACCAGAGAGTGACAGCATAAACAAACTCAACAGGAAAGAACAAACATCAATTCTTAGACTTCGGACTGGACACTGTGGTCTTCGAGCACACTTGTACAGGATAGGCATAAAAGAATCTGCTGCCTGTGATTGTGGAGCAGAAAGACAAACCCCTGAACACATACTGCAGTACTGCCCTAACCTCTCCCAGCAAAGACTGTGGATCTGGCCCAAAGGAGCCACATTGCAAGAGAAGCTATGGGGGACCGGTGGCGACCCTAAACGCACAATCCTATTTTTGATCCAGACGGGACTCAATGTTTAGCATGACTGATATCGAACGCAGAAGAAGAAGAAGAAGAAGGCATGCTCGTGCTGAGTGACAAGCATCACTTCAGAGATCCCGGGTTGTTTGCATCCTTTGGATATTTTCTCGAGGTCATACCGGTGTGTTGAGAAATGAGCAAGCAGATAGACTGGCCAGTTCTAAACCACCTGGTCATGAAGTGATGTATAACAAACTAGATGTTGTAAAGGCCCTTTGCGAGTGAGTGAACAGTGCGTAGACACAGATAGATCATTATAGTCTGAGGAGAATGGTGCCCCAAAAAGCTATCAGGGGATCTGGCCGACGCTCAACACTCAAGGGAAGGGCGAGAAGGATGTATGGGAGTGTCCTGAGTGCTGTGAGGGTGATTCTTAATTCAACATTCAACAATCAAATACTACACCTTCTGCATATCTCATACTGTAGGTTAAACAATGTAATGAAATCAAAGAAAGAAGAGCTGCAATAAGATACAGAGTCCCTGTTTAGGTTTTAGGGGGGGGAAAGAATAGTTCGACTGACACCCCTAACAAGTACATCGTAGAACAGAGCTATTCAACTGTCGGCCTGCAGGCCAAATCTGGCCCTCCGAGGTCTAGCAAGTGGCCCGCTGATCATTGCCAGTTAAGTGATATTAATGATCTTTCTATGCTGCAGCTCTGGCCTCTGGCCCGTGAGATCCCGTTTAAAAAAAAAAAAATTATGGCCCCTGAATAAACTAAGTCGATGGCCTTGTCGTAGAAGGTGGCTAATTAATTCCTTTGAAGTCAGAGTAAATCTGCCTGAGATGTGAGGTACCAACAGTCTGCATACAAGTAAGCCAGATGTCCAAAATGGTTGTGCAAGCAAAACTCAAGTTCTAAAACCAGACCAAAGTCCAGAAGTGGACAAACAACCATAACTTTTCCTACAGTTTATAGCAGATTAATCAGAAGATTGGAAAATTACCTGGTATATGAACACTACTCTCCAAACTAGGCAACCAGTGTAAGGCAACTATGCAATGGATACCATCCCACTGTGGAGTTCCTGGAAATGAAAGAGCTGATAACCTAGCTAAGGAAGGTGCAAATCAAGAACAACCTAATGTACCAGTCTCTTATCAACAGAAGAAGAGAATAATCAGATCAATCAGAAAGCCACCAAAACTGACACAAGACGATTACCATTTTATGGACAGACTAGAGCAAGTTATTATTTTACACCATAGAACAGGACACAATCGACTTGCCACATGTACACAAAATTTAAAAATCAGCCATGTGCACATGCAGACTGGCACCTGAGACAACAGATCATATCCTTCAAAACTGTCTCAAATACAACATATCAAGGCACAATTTTTGGCAAAGAGAAACACCGCTGCAAGCCAAACTTTACCGGTCACTGAGTGAATTACAACCAACAGTGACATTCATATTAGAAACAACACTGCAGGTATAGATAATATATTTCAAGAAAACGAAAGAAAAAGAAGAAGATACAAAGGAGATCAGACATTAAAATAAAAATAAACAACAACATATATATATATATATATATGTGTTAGTGTGTGTGTAAAAACATACCCTGCCATATTCCATGTAGGCATGCATGACCTGAGAGCTGTCCCTGCCAAACTCTTCTTCCATCAGCTCAATGACCTTGTCATATTTCTCACTTGCTAGTGCATATTTCTTCTGCTTTGCATAAAGTCTGGAAAATAAATGTCACTGTGTATTGAATATTATAGACTAAATTCCTGGGAGAAGCAACACATACAGACATGCTGAATTCTTCATGAAGGAACTAGATCAAAGTCAAGAAGTGGACAAACAACTAAAACTTGTTCTAGTCTATAATGAAAGAGCGGATTTTTGGCTACAAAAGCGAAAGCTACAGGAACATTCGTACTAGACAAGGGAGATATTCTGAAGACCATTCATGAACGACTGTTGACAGAAGACACGAGACTAGATGAAATAATATGTGCAAGAATGTGTGAACGAGGAATTTAGTGTGGATCCGGCACGAAGAGACGTATTTGAGGAAGAGATCAACATGTGTATAATCAGTATTCTACGGGAACAGTTAGCATCTACATCTCCAGACATTTGCTGCGGGAGATGGATCATCTAAAAGATTCATTTGAGAAAAGAGAACAGGTGTGCGACAGAGCTGTCTCTTGCCACTGCTACTGTTTTTACTGGCAAGAGATAGGATTATGAAGACAGCAGCAGCTAACACCATAAATGGAAATTCAGTGGACCCCTACAACAGAGCTTGATGATCTTGACTTCACTGGTGACATTTCTCCCCTGTACAGAGAGGTGTAGGCAGGTGTTGAACAGTTGGTTCCCTGGTGTACCACCATGTGTGGTTCAGGCAGGTGTTGAACAGTTGGTGCCCTGGTGTACCACCATGTGTGGTTCAGGCAGGTGTTAAACAGTTGGTGCCCTGGTGTACCACCATGTGTGGTTCAGGCAGGTGTTGAACAGTTGGTGCCCTGGTGTAACACCATGTGTGGTTCAGGCAGGTGTTGAACAGTTGGTGCCCTGGTGTAACACCATGTGTGGTTCAGGCAGGTGTTAAACAGTTGGTTACCTGGTGAACCACCATGTGTGGTTCAGGCAGGTGTTAAACAGTTGGTTACCTGGTGAACCACCATGTGTGGTTCAGGCAGGTGTTAAACAGTTGGTGCCCTGGTGAACCACCATGTGTGGTTCAGGCAGGTGTTAAATAGTTGGTTACCTGGTGAACCACCATGTGTGGTTCAGGCAGGCGTTAAACAGTTGGTGCCCTGGTGTACCACCATGTGTGGTTCAGGCAGGTGTTGAACAGTTGGGGCCTTGGTGTACCACCATGTGTGGTTCAGGCAGGTGTTAAATAGTTGGTGCCCTGGTGTACAACCATGTGTGGTTCAGGCAGGTGTTGAACAGTTGGTGCCCTGGTGTACCACCATGTGTGGTTCAGGCAGGTGTTGAACAGCTGGTGCCCTGGTGTACAACCATGTGTGGTTCAGGCAGGTGTTAAACAGTTGGTGCCCTGGTACTGGTGTACCACCATGTGTGGTTCAGGCAGGTGTTGAACAGTTGGTGCCCTGGTGTACAACCATGTGTGGTTCAGGCAGGTGTTGAACAGTTGGTTCCCTGGTGTACCACCATGTGTGGTTCAGGCAGGTGTTAAATAGTTGGTGCCCTGGTTTACCACCATGTGTGGTTCAGGCAGGTGTTAAACAGTTGGTGCCCTGGTACTGGTGTACCACCATGTGTGGTTCAGGCAGGTGTTAAACAGTTGGTGCCCTGGTGTACCACCATGTGTGGTTCAGGCAGGTGTTAAATAGTTGGTGCCCTGGTTTACCACCATGTGTGGTTCAGGCAGGTGTTAAACAGTTGGTGCCCTGGTACTGGTGTACCACCATGTGTGGTTCAGGCAGGTGTTAAACAGTTGGTGCCCTGGTGTACCACCATGTGTGGTTCAGGCAGGTGTTAAACAGTTGATGCCCTGGTGTACCACCATGTGTGGTTCAGGCAGGTGTTAAACAGTTGGTGCCCTGGTGTACCACCATGTGTGGTTCAGGCAGGTGTTAAACAGTTGGTGCCCTGGTGTACCACCATGTGTGGTTCAGGCAGGTGTTAAACAGTTGGTGCCCTGGTGTACCACCATGTGTGGTTCAGGCAGGTGTTAAATAGTTGGTGCCCTGGTTTACCACCATGTGTGGTTCAGGCAGGTGTTGAACAGTTGGGGCCCTGGTACTAGTGTACCACCATGTGTGGTTCAGGCAGGTGTTGAACAGTTGGGGCCCTGGTGTACCACCATGTGTGGTTCAGGCAAGTGTTGAATAGTTGGTGCCCTGGTGTACCACCATGTGTGGTTCAGGCAAGTGTTGAATAGTTGGTGCCCTGGTGTACCACCATGTGTGGTTCAGGCAGGTGTTGAACAGTTGGTGCCCTGGTGTACCACCATGTGTGGTTCAGGCAGGTGTTGAACAGTTGGTGCCCTGGTGTACCACCATGTGTGGTTCAGGCAGGTGTTGAACAGTTGGTGCCCTGGTGTACCACCATGTGTGGTTCAGGCAAGTGTTAAACAGTTGGTGCCCTGGTGTACCACCATGTGTGGTTCAGGCAGGTGTTGAACAGTTGGTGCCCTGGTGTACCACCATGTGTGGTTCAGGCAGGTGTTGAACAGTTGGTGCCCTGGTGTACCACCATGTGTGGTTCAGGCAGGTGTTGAACAGTTGGTGCCCTGGTGCTGGTGTACCACCATGTGTGGTTCAGGCAAGTGTTGAACAGTTGGTGCCTTGGTGTACCACCATGTGTGGTTCAGGCAGGTGTTGAACAGTTGGGTGCCCATGGTGGTTCAGGCATGTTTAAAACGTTGGTGTACCACCATGTGTGGTTCAGGCAGGTGTTAAACAGTTGGTGCCCTGGTGTACCACCATGTGTGGTTCAGGGCAGGTGTTGAACAGTTGGTGCCTGGTGTACCACCATGTGTGGTTTCAGGTAGGTGTTAGTGAACAGTTGGTGCCCTGGTGTACCACCATGTGTGGTTCAGGCAGGTGTTGAACAGTTGGTGCCCTGGTGACCACCATATGTGGTTCAGGCAAGTGTTAAACAGTTGGGGCCCTGGTACTAGTGTACCACCATGTGTGGTTCAGGCAGTGTTGAACAGTTGGTGCCCTTGAACAGTTGGTGCCCTGGTACTGGTGTACCACCATGTGGGTTTCAGAAGGTAGTTAAACAGGTGCCCGGTGTACCACAATGTGTGTTCAACAGTTGGTGCCCTGGTGACCACCAAGATGTGGTTCAGCAAGTGTTAAACAGTTGGTGGCCCTGGTAC